CGGTCAAACATCACACTATATCACTCATAATGCATGAAAATATGATGAACATCAATAATCTCCTATTTCTTAACATAATTTTTTTGTTCTTTCTGTTTTTTGTTTCAAATTTGTTTATCCTTCATCCTCTAATTTAGTTTAACTCCTAATGTTACGAAAAAGTCGTGAAATTTGATCCTACACCTTTGGGCACTGCTCATTGGGCAGGCTTATTTTCCCATAATTTCAGTTATGCGACATACTATGTGATATATCGCACTTTGTACGCAGTTATACGAATAAAGGTTGTATCTTTTCGATCTCGATGATACACATTGATCTTGTTGACATAAATAGAAGTAGTTATTTTCTAGGCTCTCATATTTATGTTTAAATTGGGCTTACAATCAACAATTTTTATTCGTCATTCCGCAAGAGAATTCGTCCCAGCCTTCCTTGCCTTGAGTTCGCGACCATGTGTTCACAACTAGGTGTAATCAACTAGGTTTTCTCTGTCGAAGTCTTCTCAAGAGGGTAGTCAACCTAGTCACCCTAAAGGACCATGATTTTAGTCAGAGATGTTAAACGGGCTAGCCCTAGTGGGCTTCGGGCTAAACGGTTTGGTCCTAAAAAGCCCGAATTTAAACGGACTACCAATAAAAGGACCTAACTCTAACCTTAGCGGGCTTCTGGCTAAACGAGCTATGCGGACTATAATAATAATAATAATAATAATAATAATAATAATAATAATATGACGCCTTGTGTGCAACTAAGGGCTATGGATTTCTCCCATTCTCTTTCTCTTCATTGGGGGAGTTGCACACCGAGGCCATCGCCCTACTCAAGAGGATTCAGAAGTATTCGGTATCTCAGGATGCGGGAGCACGTGCCGCTCCTCATATTTTCACTCGTATTAGCTTTTCCATTGCAAAAGGAGTGGGGGCCCAGATAGTATCTCGGCTCCCCTCCAATTTCTTGTANNAAAAAAAAAAAATAGTAATAATAATAATAATAATAATAATAATAATAATAATAATAATAATAATAATAATAATAATAATAAAGTTTTCAAGTAAATTAGTTGACCACGATCCCTCCAAATTATAAAAATTACATTACCCACAATTTTTTTTAATCAATATAGTGATTCATATGTACTCAAATAATTTATATAAATATTATTTTATTTTTACTAATAATTAAATCTTGAAAATGTGGTATATCTATTATCTAAAATTTTAATATTTAATTCACATATCTTGAAAATGTGGTATGTTTATTATCTAAAATTTTAATATTAAATTCACATATCTTGAAAATGTGATATGTTTATCATCTATAATTTTAATATTAAATTCACACATATTACTTATAATATATTATGTTTATCTGTGCATGTGCACGAGATGATAACTAGTTATAAGCTAATTTATGGCGAAATAAGCTCGATAATTTGAATTAATAGTTGTGATCATTTTTAAAACATTGATAGTGGCAATGGCGGATACTATTAATGTACAAAAGTTATATTATTAATATGGAATTATTAATTTATCATAGTAACATTTTTGTTACTCTTTTTTTTTTT